ATTCTCAATAGAGGAATCTACAATGGCTGAAAGACACATAAGAAAGTATCTAACATCCTTAGCCATCAAGGAAATGCAAATCAAAACAACTCTAAGATACCATCTTACACTTGTCAGAATAACTAAAATCAAAACCACCAATGACATTTTGTACTGGAGAGAATGTGGTGAAAGGGGAACACTCTTCCACTGCTGGTGGGAGTGCCAACTCATACAACCACTTTGGAAATCAGTATGGCAATTCCTCAGGAAAATGGGAATCAGGCTACTACAAGATCCAGCAATCCCATTCTTAGGCATATACCCAAAAGAAGCACATTCATACAACAAGGACGTCTGTCCAATTATGTTCATAGCAGCATTATTTGTAATAGCCAGAACCTGGAAGCAACCTATATGCCCCTCAACTGAAGAATGAATAGAGAAAATGTGGCATATTTACATAATGGAGTACTATTCAGCGAAAAAAAAACACAACAAAAACAAAAACAATGGAATCTTGAAATTCGAAGGCAAATGGATGGAACTAGAAGAAACCATTTTGAGCAATGTAACCCAGTCACAAAAAGACAAACATGGTATGCACTCACTCATATATGGATTTCAGACATAGAGGAAAGGATTACCAGCCCACAATTCATACCACCAGAGAAGCTAGGAAACAAGGAGGACTCTAAGAGAGACATGCATGGTCCCCAGGAGAAGGGGAAAGGGACAAGATCTCCTGAGCAAATTGGGAGCATGAGGGGAGGGGAGAGGGAGCTAGGAAAATGAGAAGGGGAGGAAAGGAGGAGTGAGGAGGACATGAGGGAGCATGAAATTTGAGTTAGGGGAAGAATAGAGGAGAGCAAGATAAGAGATACCATAATACAGGGAGCCATTAAAGGTTTAAAGAGAAATCAGGAGCTAGGGAAATGTCTGTAGATCTACAACGATGACACCAACTAACAATCTAAGCAACATAGGAGAGGCTACCTTAAATGCCCCCAATAATGAGATTGATGACTGACTTATATGCCATCCTATAGCCTTCACCTAGCAGCTGGTGGAAGTGGAAGCAGACACTCATAGGTAAACACTGACCTGAACTGGAATCTAGTTGCAGAGAAGGAGGAGTGATGAGCAAAGGGGTCAAGACCAGGCTGGTGAAACCCACAGAAACGGCTGACCTAAACAAGGGGGAACTCTTGGTCCCTAGACTGATAGCTGGGAAACCAGCATGGGACTGATCCAGACCCAGTGAATGTGGATGTCAGTGAGGAGACCTCGGAAATCAATGGGGCCTTTTGTAGTAGATCAGTACTTATCCCTAGCATAGGAATAGACTTTGGGAGCCCATTCCACATAGAGGGATACTTCCTGAGCCTAGACACAAAGGATATGACAGACTCTGAAGATCCCCTATGGAAGGCTTCACCCTCCCTGGGGAGCAGAAGGGGTATGGGATAGGTAGGGTGTTAGTTGGGCGGGGGGCAGGGGAGAAGGGGAGGCAGAGGGAACTGGGATTGACATGTAAAATAATCTTGTTTCTAATTTAAATAAAAATGGGGAGAAAGAAAGAATATAAAAATAAACAAGCAAACACACACACATTTTTCTGTTGTGTATGACCTGGAATTCCCAAAGTTGACAACCAGTTGGTATTACTCATCACCATGCTGTCACAGAATTGCAGACATTCACTTGAGTCAGGTTACAGGACTTGCCTGGCCAATTATAAGGGTTAGTGCATTTGCTGTAAGTTGTAGATATGTTTCTATTTATTGTGTGATGGAGACAGGGTCTTCTGTAGCCCAGGCTGGAACTGGCTATGTAGCCAAGGAAGACATTGAACTTCTGGTTCTATTGATTTAGCTTTTCAAGTGCTGAGATTACAGATGTAGTGCCACCAAGCCAAAGTTTAGGTGGCAGGCTCCTGTATCTGCTACATAGGCAAGCCTAACAACTAAGCTACTTCCTATCCCTATCACTTTATTTGCTCTTGTTTAGTGGCAAATCTCATGGCAGTCCCATTTTGTTTCTTCCAATTTCCATCCCAGAAGACTCTGTTGTTCTGGCTTGCATGGAGGACTGTCTCCTAAGCTCAGCCGCTGAGAATAGGTGTTGCTTATTCTTCCCACATCACCTCTCTCACTGTCTCGGCTTGTTTATAACCAAGAATCTTATAATTCCATTATATAATAAGTTATAAATAATCGTTAAAGCCTAAGCACTAGCTCTCCTAAGTGTATTTTAATAGGAACACCTTTCGAAGCCAAAGAGATGTGTCTGCAATCAGATAATTGTTGAGCATTGCAAAGGATTGTAGGCTTTATCCTACTTGCAAGCTAGCTTGTCATAATTTCGTGGAGCTTTGCGGAGGGGGAGACTTTTGAATGAGAGACAGAGGGAACTTTACTACTTAAAGTATTCACACATTGGTCCTAATTCTTACAGGGTGATGTGGGATATGGTCATGGACACTAGCGCATCAGTGGGAGTTGTGAACTTACTTCACCCACATCTTCACCACTGGAAGTACCTGTGTCTGCCTGCCTATTGCTTTGGAGGGAGACACTATTTATCCCAAGGCTGTTCATGAAATAAGCATACCATCAGAGTAATGGAGGGATCATTCAATGAAGAAATTCACTTTTTAAAAAAAATTTATTAATGGGACATGGAAATGTTTGCTCACTTTATTTTCTGCTTGTTTAAATGGAATATTGGACTAGCTCCAGCTTTAGCATGATGACCTTAGAATGCTTCTACTTGTCAGATTTTTAAATTCATTTTGCTTTGTTTTGTTTTCAATTTATTTTATTTTATTTTATTTTTTTATTAGTTCAAATTAGGAACAAGCTTGTTTCACATGTCAGTCCCTTCTCCCTCCCCTCACCCCCATCCATCCTCCCCCATCCCCGACCTACTCCCCAACCCATCCACTCTCCACTCCCCAGGCAGGTAGGGCCCTCAAACTGGGACTCCCCAAAGTCCACTATATTATCCTGGGCTGGACCTAGGCCCTCCCCCATGTGTCCAGGCCAAGAGTGCATCCCCTCACATGGGATATGTTCTGTAACTCCCTTCTTAAACCAGGGCAAAA